CTTATGATGAATTAAAAACTATACCTAGTGCGGACGTTCTGTCGAGTGCTTGTTGACAGAAAATGTTTTCAGGAGGCAAAGAGGGGTTGGCGAAGGATGAGTCAAGATTAGGACAACTTTTAACTTTGACTTTGGGTAACAATGTTAAACGTGTACGGACTGTCATTCTTCAAGATCGATGAATGACAATGAGAAGTCAAAGGTCGTCATTTTGAAACCATCGTGAACATTCAAAAAGCTGTAACCGATGTGCAACAACTCGATGAAAATGGCTTTCAGAAACGCTATGAGGCATAGAAAAAGATGAAATAAGTGTATTATGACGGAAGGGGATTACTTTGAACAAAATTAACATTACAACAACTTTAAATAATTGATTTGTAATAAAATTAGTCTCATTACTTTTCAATCAGACTTCGTAAGCTGTTATTATTACAGAAATCGTTTTTAGCCCTAAGTATAATTAAATTAATTAAAATATCTATAACCATAAGGTAGATAATAGTAACGGCTTATCACACCAATGATAATGGGCACAAACGCTCAAGAATCAAAGTAAAAACATTTAATAAAACAAAAAGGGTGTACAATAAGATGATTACATAAGTATAAAAACCGTAAAATTCCAAAATGCATTTCGGACTATTTTCCAATTGAAAAATAGTCCCTCATCAGTTGGTAATAGCGAGAGGTCTTAGTATACTTAAAAATTATACAAGGTGAAAAAAATATTAAATTTAAAATTAAACTTAAAACTATGCCTAAAGCTATACAATATAAAGATGAAACCATCGCCATGACTGTATGAGCAGTAAGCATTATCAATGTAGACAGGAGTAATATTTCTTCCTAACGTTGCATGGTAACGTGACGAACAGGGTGCTGATACAAAAATAGTTATGAATTAGCCGAAATATTGGTTAACAGTTATGGACTAATGTTATACAGTCAGTTTAAATTATGTACATACCAAAAACAGTAGGACAACAGAGTTGCAGGTTCAGACATTTCTGCAAGATGCAGGGAGCGGTTACAAAGGAGGTGTGTTACCTTACACATCTGGAGCACAAGTGGTGACAACATATGATGCAGCCAGATGTCATTGTTAATTTTATCTATTTCAACCTTTAATAGATGAAGGCCCATGCACAAATATCAATTGGGATCTAGGCAAATTATTCTTTAAATGTAACATTACTATTACAGAAATCGCTTTTAACTCATAACTATTTTTGTATCAACACCCTGTTCGTCAAGTTACCATGCAACGTTAGGAAGAAATATTACTCCTGCCTACATTGATAATGCTTACTGCTCATACAGTCATGGCGATGGTTTCATCTTTATGTTGTATAGCTTTAGGCATAGTTTTAAGTTTAATATTTTTTTCACCTTGTATAATTTTTAAGTATACTAAGACCTCTCGCTATTACCAACTGATGAGGGACTATTTTTTCATTGGAAAATAGTCCGAAATGCATTTTGGATTTTTACGGTTTTCATACTTATGTAATCATCTTATTGTACACCCTTTTTGTTTTATTAAATGTTTTTACTTTGATTCTTGAGCGTTTGTACCCATTATCATTGGAGTGATAAGCCCTTACTATTATCTGCCTTATGGTTATAGATATTTTAATTAATTTAATTCGTAAGCTGTGTTAAAAACCCTATTACATTTTTCAAAAGAAGTTTCCCAAAAAGTCCACCAACGAGTTGCTTAACTTTCTCGGCGACATTTGGTGGCGCCATATATTATCATATTTTACTAAAAACGTTTTTGCCATTTTATAATAGTTCAAAATATAAAAAGCTTAATTTTCAGGGTAGGAATGAGTTTTATAAAAAATTTTAAATGATAATAACGAGTAAAATTGTCATTAAATGTGACCCTACTGGAGATACTACACGATCCCCTTTATTTCCCCACCCCTCGACTATTCATCAAAGAGGGTGAACAAAATCGTGCTCTCCACACACTAATATTCTAACATACAGAAAAAAACTCGAATTTTTTTGCATTTCTCAACATTTCAACATGTCCTTAGTCCAAAAATGCAAAAATCTTGGGGAGGATTATTTTTTGACCGATCGCCATACTTTCCCTCTATTATACAAGGTAGATTTAAAAAGTTCGCGGAAAAGTTGTTTATTTTCTTAGTGAATGAAGCCCAGATACCCAGACAAGGAGCCAAATTTAAATTTCGATATTTTTACTACAGTAATGAGTTTATAAAAAATTGATTCGGGGTTTCCTGTTGGTAGACCCCAGGCAATTGCTCTTCTTGCCCTTAGGATAACGCGCCACTGATCCATAGTCATATTCTTTAATATTTTACGAACTCTAGTGCAAGAGATTTCTTTTGACATTTTGGACTTTACAAATGCACTATAGCTTTATTAACATTTACACAAAAAAGTATCTCGAATCTTACATGAAATATAAAAGTACGAGTATAATCGAATTGAGTACAGTATTAAAATTAAACTCTAGTGTCAAATTACTCAGTATTTAATTATTAATAGCAAAAGTAATGTGGCCCAATTTTAATCCTCCAATCGTATGGCTTTAATTAAAATTAAATTAAAATATAATCTAAGTCGGTATTAATTAATTAAATAACTGTATTTATTCAGACCGTGCTAACTTTTGCTGAGCTTTGCATTATTACTGGTAATTGGCTAGGAGGTAGTTTCGTATTAAACGGCAGTGGAAACGTTGGAGACTCAATCGCACGTTAGTTAGATATTAAGAAAGTTTTGGGAAGGGTTGGACAGACTAAGTTTTTGATGAACAATCCACAAACGATATGGAATGTTCGAGACAGACATGTTATTGCTATCATTCGAATTAGCCCACTTAACACTATGTTAAAACGTCAAACGCTAGACGGCCGGATGACCGAGCGGTCATGTTGTCAGTTTACCACTCTGAGGAATCTGGACTAGATCGTAGAATTAGTGGATACAATTTCATTCATTATATAAATGTTCGTAAATTATATAAATAAGTTTATGCAAATGAGTGTCTAGATTGCAGTTGAGGTACTGTACAACATAACATCCAAAACTCACTCAAAAAACCCGAAACAAAATGGAAAATAAATAACATAACTAATGGCATAACTATAATAATAACTATGGCCTAAATAAAAATAACACAAATTTCCATAATAAGACTATAGAAAAATTTTCTTTATTGATATTTCAACTTAATTTTAAGTAAATATTATTGAATTACTACAAATAGTAGTTATAATTTCTATGTGTAATAATATTGTTTTTTATAATGGCCAGATGGCCGAGCGGTCAAGGTGGTAGCCTACCGCTCTGGTGAAGCCACGATCAAAACCGAAAAATTCCCAGGAATTTTTTGGGACGTGGTCCGACCGGATATGTCGGGTCCCGTCCCTAACCACCCAGCCGCTCCATTGTGTGTTTAACCGAACCCATAATGGGCCCGCTAAAAGAGGCCCTCTTAGCGCTCACAGGGAGAAAAGAATTTTTAAAAAAAGATGTCAAAAAGCTATAAAAGCGATGATCGTCAACCTGGATCATGTGGTTCATCTGACGTCGCGTCAAAATCTGATGGCCTTACGGTCCCGCTTCTTACATTTCAGGATTTGGTCGCTTTAGATTCCATTTTCAAAATTCCAGATAGACTTACTCCGGGGTTAAGCGAAGAGTCACATGTGGATTATCGGTTTCTATAACTTTCTTAACTCCTATTGGCATGTGCTAAAGCTCTCATGCAGGGCCGGATCATCGCATAGACAAATATCTAGGGCCCTGTCTATCTTGAAAAGATTAGTAAATAAGATAGTTTACTTTTCTGTTGGACAACTGTATATAGTAGCCAAATAAAACAAAAATATATTGCTTTTTATATGGTTATTGTGAATTCTAAAATCTAAAGAAAATGTGTTCTTATGTTTCTTCTTATTGAAAGTAAAATTCATTCTCAGTATTAAAACGTGTAAAAATTATTTACGAAACTCACTGAGTAAATCAAAATTAAATTCTTTAGTTGTTTTATACATGAAACAAAATGCGTTGGATAATATTAATTATGATGAAATAATTAATAATTTTGTTGACTAGAAAACAGAATTTTTAAATAAAGTTTACTCGTATTTATATACCTTATATCTGCGCAGATAAGACGATAGTTATATCATAAAAAAAGACCCCCAAAATCCGGGGTCGTCTTATAGGACACATGCAAAAAAGATTAGATTGAAATTTATATAAATTAAAGTCATTATAAAAAAAACGGAAAAACCGTAATTATTTACTAGTGGACTAGAGAGGAAAAACCGTAATTATTTACTAGAGAGTAGGGTATGTCCACAAAATAGAATATCCCATACGACGTTTTTTTGAATAGTCAAGGTCATTACCCGAATGCCCGAATCAGTGTGAATGTTTGCAACAATCGCACGGCAGTGCTGTCAGATGCAAAAAAAAAATAAAATTTGAAGTTCTTTCAAACAATTACGAATAGGACATTATATACGCTATACAATGTTATTATCCAGATGATGATCGTTAATCTAAATTCATAGGCCGTTGATAGTTGGGGGTCGTCTTATAGGACAAATATATGCTAAAACTTCGACGAAAATTTATACCTCGTCTTATCTGAAGGTTGTCTTATCTGCGTAGATATACAATATTTACTTTTTAAAAAGTATCTTGGCTTTCATTTAAATTATCTTTTTCATTATTCAATTTATCTTTCATGGGTAATAAAATATTATATTATTTAAATATTAACCAAAAAAATTAAACAATTAATATTTTAAGGTAATATTGTTATTGTATAACAAGTTTTGTTAGACATTTAATAAAATAAATTTCAATTTTTTTAAATTTATAAACTGTTCAAACTTTTATAGAAAAATTAAAATTTATTGTTGTATATTAAATACTTTTTATCAATAAAAATTTAAGATTTGTTTTAGTTTCTCACATTATTTAGTTTAGTTTTATTTATTATTTTATATTTTTTGTGTGCTCTATTTCTTGTGGGAGAGAGAGGGGCCCGGTAAGAAGAAAATGTCTAGGGCCCCAAAGTGGGTTAATCCGGCCCTGTTCTCATAACATCCCAACTGTCTCATTCACAGCGGGGATCTTGTCAAAAGGTATTCCGTCTAATTCAGGAGTGTGGCCACTTGAAGTATATTAGTGCCCCGTACTTCGAATTTACTTCATTCCAGGAGACCGTTCGAACTCCGAATCAATTTTTTTTTCTATTAAAAATAATGGAAAATGAATTAATGCATTCCCAGATCCTAAACAATACTTATTTCGATAAACTTAAAACAGTAAACACACATAATTTAAGGTAAAAACAATACAATTTAATTACTTAAATAATAAATTAAAATACTAAAACAATAAATAAAATACGTAATTGCTGTATAATATAATGCAAATTACATTTAGGCAACTGTTCGTACACCGAAGACGGCATCTTAAACGTCCGCTGCACATATACTGCTTTCGTACTTCCAATAGATAAATTCCTTTTCATCTCAATAGTCGATAATACAACCTTTACTTGTAAAGGTTGTATTATCGACAAGTAAAAGTTATATTAGTTTGAACGGAAAGTATAGCGTATTTGTATTTTAAACAGCTGTAGTTACTTAACATAGATATGTGATTATAATAGTTGTGAAATTTAACACATTATTGCTTAAAAGCTTATTTTAAACATTTTACTTCATATTTTGAATAAAATCAAATTGAAATGTTTTCAGATAAAAAGCATATCCGGCATATTTTGCTCCGAAAAAGATATAACGCCGTACAAATAGTAAAAAAAGAAAAAAATTCGTAATATGTATAGGGAAGATGCTCCTAAACTTCAAATGCTTCAAATGTGGGTTAAAAAGTTCCGTTCAAGAAAGTTTGAACTAAAGGATACAAAATGTACGGGTGCTCAAAAGCTATTGGGAAAGAAAAACTACAAGAAGAAATGTTAAAAATCGACGAATAACAATTTATATATGTATATAGTGTGTTTTATACGGCATAAATAAAGCGAAAAAGGTGTTGAAAACACGAACGTAATGTAAATGAGAGTGAGAGACGACTTGGGCACACAACAAATGGCGTTTACGCAGAGAACTCATTTTTTCACTACGAGCACAGTTTGAACTTTTAAGCATCGTTCGAATTCCGAAGCGAATTTTTATCAAATTAGCATTTGAACCATGAAACATTCGAAATTAGAGTTGTTGGAAGTACTAGGTACCACTGTATAACCAAAATCGATCGTCTTATCGAGTAAATATCGGAAGAATAAATATGAGTTCGAAATTCAAAAAATTTAAAATTTTTTGCGAAATTCTGGGAGTCTCTCGGAGAATCCGAGAGGGTTGGCTACGCTATGTAATTTGGAAATACAAAATCCCTTTTTATTTATTTATTGTCATTTATGTTCAAATTTTGCTTTCAGTTTCTCGGTTGATGGCTATGAAAATACTGTATTTCAAATTAATTGTCATTCATTTTTCTGTTAGATAATAATACGATTACCCGAAAAATTGATCCTCGTGAATTTAATCAACAGATTTGGAGAATTCTGGAAATTGAATGGAGACAAGACAATCTGTTCTTTTAGCTAATCATTTTAATCATCTTTCAAATCATTTTAATAAGAGAATTAACATTTGTTTTGAAAACATAAACAGTATTTTATAACAATTCTATCTTTGATATTTTGACAATCTTTTAATAACAGTTGAATTAAATTGCATACCATCAGAAATGAGGATTGTATTTTTATGACAAATTGAAAGAATATGAAACAACGATGATAGTTTAATGATCTCACCAATATAGCCTGTAAATATTATATATTTTAATAAATAATTTTATTAGATAATACTGAATATGTTGAAATCATAGGCTTAGATTTTGTTAATTTAATAATAAAATTAATATATACTGTACTGTACACAAGTTTTCGTTAAACAGAAACAAATTTCGAGTCCAGATTTTTTTTTTTTTCGATTTTTTCTGGAGATGAGATTTTCCTTATTCTTTTAAGAAATTTCTTTCTATCATGATAATAGCATGTTTATTAAATCTGTTTTAAAAATTTTCATTTGGAACAACGAATACAATTGGGATTGAATTAAATTGAATTGATTGGACAAGGCAACGCAACACGTGGACGATCTGATAGGGAGGGAATGCCTCTTGAGAAGATAGATATACGAGACCTTTATGAGAGATAAGCTCCTATTTAGGAACTAGACACTTGAAGAAAACCCGGAAAACTTCACATTGCCAACTTGTTAATAAGGTGTGAACATTCATTGGCCACTGGAAGCAAATAAATTCCAGAGCGAATGCTACAATTTTTCGCTATACAAACATTTTGTAGTCTCCAGCATTTTTAAGACTTTTGAATAATTTTTTTTTAATAAAAATTTGTAATGCGGAAAGCATATCATGCTACCTTCAAGAAGACCCGATTTTTAATCACTTTTTGGATGGACTTTTGTTGTCAGCCAATAGTAGTCTATACAACATTAGGGATGTAGCCAGAATTTCTGAGTGTGGTCACCGCCGTTATGGGCTGATCGCTTGCGTAGACTTGGCATAAGTGGGCACGCTAACATAAAAACGCAATATTTGGTCTACGAACACTATGAATACATTATTGTGCAAGGAGCAGCTGTAATCTGTATGGCAGCTTCTTGCATGTCATATGCAAACCAGTGGTAATTTACACATGATAATGCTCAATAAATAAGAAAAGGCTGAAAAACAACAATTATTGAATTTTATTCTTCTTTTCCTCGTGACTGTCCATGTAGCCTGATATTTGAGTCTGTTTTTCTGTTTCATCTAGTGGCCAACTGCTTATGATAGGCTATTCTTTTTTTACGCTGTTAACTTTTAAACTTGAGTGGAGCGGCAATCGTGGCTGGCAGAGTGAGGGGCGGAAGAACTATTAATATAAATGTATCATTTTTTGGCTGCAATTTGAAAAACTTGTAGACCTATAAATTACCATTGTCGTCTGTCCGTCTGACTTTCCTTAATCTCGAGAACAGAGTTAGATAGATGAAAGACGAGATCAGATATGGAAAGATTAGTGGAAGGAGGCCCCGGATTAACTATATTCGAACTTCCGGAATGGACTGGAAGTCACATTATTTCAATTCAAAAAGTTTCCTCTGAAAAGAGTTAGATATGTGACCGGCACGACTCTATTGATAACGGAAAAGTATGATGTAAAGGGACAAGACACTACATCTGAAGTGGAGAGCATATATTTTAAATGAAATAAATTAAAAATATGATTAAAAATTGTAGCCCGGCATTGTGACGATGTCATAATAAATAATTGTTTGTTTATTTTATAAAAAAATGAAGCATTTAGATTAATAGGTAATTGTCGTTAAAGAATTACATTTGAATATTATTTATCATGACAATTTATTAATACTAAATTTTATCAAGTTGATAAGTATTTTTTAATTTCAGTAAATTTTATAAAATTTTACCATATTACACAATTTTTTCAGGTGTAAGTTATAGGTAAGGATAATTTTCATTCATGAAATATTTTATGGCTTAACTAATGAAAATTAATATTGAATGAATGAAACGTAACGAAGAAATCACTTCTTTTTTCTGTTTTTAAATAGAATTACTGGTTGTATTTCAAAATTAGTAATCAGCTTTTGCCTCATAACTGCAGAACTATCATAAATTTGATTGAAATTTATGTAGCGATAATGTCACAGCTTCCAAAAACTTAATCTCACTTTTTAAACGATTAAATATTTGATGTTTGATTACAATGAATTCAAAAATACATAATTAACAAAATTTTCTTTTATATAGATTTTTTCCAGTTAAATTTTATAGAAACATTCTATTTAATAGTTTCAAAAATTACTTTTCCTAGTAATGCTTCATGCGATGTACAGTACAGTACTGTACTGGACATAATTAATTAAAAGTTAATAGGCAAAATATTTAAACTTTAAAAAACAATACTATATTATTCAACTGAAATTTAATACATTTGGAGACACTAAGTGCTAATAAATTTCGGGAACCGTTGAGTATTTCATTTTATATTTAAGATGTAATTGGAATTTAAGATAAAATTTATTCTATTTGGGATTCTTTAAAGATTCTCTCAAGCGCTTAATTTACGTACTTTACAGTACGTAAAAATTCATCATTTATTTTGCTTCCTCTAAACAATTACATTGTTTCTAAACATTGTAAAATATTTGAATTTTACAACGTTTCAGATAATATCGACGTATCTTGTTTCTTTTCCTTTTTATTGAGCGAAACGAGGTGCTTTATTCTTTATTAAACATTACATTAAAGTGAAATACGATGATATTTTTAAAATCAAATTACAAAAACGTATTGGTTACAAAATTTTCATAGTTTCATAGATGTGAAAGAGTTTTTACTTAAATATATAATTTTATTGATAAATATATATCCTATTGATAAATATATATCCTATTTATAAACCATTAAATATCTGGATCTACATACCATGATGGATGATTGATTATTGAACCATTCTCATCTTGACAACAATGATTTTAATGAAAATTTATTTCTGTCTTTAGAAACCACCAAACGTGTTCTAAAATTTTAAGTCATATTTATTTATTTTTAAAATTTTTTTAATTTAAAAAAAATATAAATTTAATGAATATGATTTTAATCGTAAAAATTTTAAAATTTTAAATCGAATAATTTATTCAGTTTATTATTTTTTAGACTTATTAATTCTAGATAAATTTTTAAAAACCGATATACTGTATAATTGTTTTAATTGTACAAACTTTTCGTTCTAAGTTTTTATTTTTTACGTTAATATTTTTTAATATAAACATAAAAAATAAAACTTATATTAAAACGTAATATATACATACATATACATACCCATATTTTTCCATGCCGTCTCCTCTCTGTATATCTCTTCATAAAAATAACAGAACTATTATTTATATTTTTGATTTTAATATATGATAAGCGTATATTTACTTGATAACTAAAATTTGCCGTTAAGAACATAGTGAGTGCTGTACATAGGATCCTCTCTTTTCGGTTGGTTCGGCATTTTGCAATGTATTTTCCATAATAAAATAAAGTTCACTATACGATAAATATTCATTTTAATATTAGCTTAGGATTGCTAACGACCGGACCATGCGGGTAAACATAATTGGCATAATTAGCACATTTTTAAAAAGATTTTATAATGTTTAGTTATTTATTTACTTAGTATTATATTGGCCTATATAAATAAAAAATTATTTTTTATTATAAAGAGCACATTTTAAAGAAGAAATAGCTTAGTTCTGTGACGATTTTTCAACTTCTGAAGTCTCGGAATGAATCATTTAAAACACAATACTGGGTTTACATTATCGTACTGTGATGTATCTGGAACTCTGTTGAATTTTTAATAAAATTTCCAATTAAATTAAAACTCATTGAAAAATAGTAGGCCTATTTTCTTCTCTTGAGACGAAGAAAAACTTTTTTAACTTTTACTTACCGATTAATATTGTAATTAATATCTTAAGATTACTCACTGTACTTTCAATATATTTATAAAGAACAATAGTAAAATTCCTAGGGAGAAAAGGATAAAGCTCAAATTATGTAATTGATAATTACAATTGAACACTAATAGTGCCGAATATCACTTTCATTTTGTATATAATTATTATGTTCTCCGAAAATATTATTAATTTTTTTTCTTTTTATCCATAAAAGTATTTAGATTAATATGTTTAAATTTATAAAATAATCACATATAGATAATTATAATTACATCATGTTTAAAATTATTTCATAAAATGCATTCGTAATAAGAGATTACATAAACGTGCATTTATTAGTTAATTGATTATTATTTAATGGTTATAATTTTTTATACATTATTAATATAATTAGCCTAAAAACAGATTTTCCCGAAGTCTCAGATTTATAGACCGATGTATTACTATAAAAATAATTATTCGGATAATAATAAATAATAAACTTTGCTTTTTTTTCCTCTACAAAAAGTCTAACCGATTATACGAGCGAAAATAATAAAAAAAATATTGAGATTGATGAAATACTCTAAATTTTCGAAAGTCAATTTAATTGTAATATTATATTATTTTAATATAAATAATTTCTTAAACAAGTTTCACCAGATTTTCTAAACAAGTGTCGAAAACTCGTTTCAGTTAGTTACCTCCCATTTAGTGTACTGCAGAACACGTCATTATCCAAGGATAAGGTTCGAACCCCCGGGGGTTGCTCCCCACTGATTAACAAACCCTGTCCTAAACTAATATATCAATATTCCATATTATATTTTGGAAATTTATTTATTATTTGCTAAAATATAAGTTTAGCATATAAAAACCTTTAGTTCGAGTTAAATTTTAAAAAATGACATGACATCATTTTTTTTTTAGTAAAGTTGCATGCTTTCATTCAAATTAATTCTCGTTTATTAGTAGTAAACAAGAAAAAAATTAGTTAAATATTGCAAAATATTTTTCAACTCGCAGGTAGAATGTTCCTTGCCAATTGAACTTAATCGATGCGAATATAGTAGGATCAGTATACTGGAAGCAGTAATGATAGAATTAATATATCAATAAAATAATATTTGATACATTTAGCTTAACATTAATACAATGTATTCAACAACAAGCTAACTATTATTTAGTATTGATTATTATGTATTTAAATAGCTTTCATTCATAATTAAGCCCATTTAAATTATTGAAATGAGTCATAAATTATTATACAAAAATACAGTTAAAAATAAAAAGTATCTGATTATACAAATATCGAACATTTTGATCCAGTAAGTTTAAATATTGAAAAATATTTGGATTAAAAACTGTTTTAATTTATTATTTTATGTGGAAACATATGTAACTCGATCAATATAGTTTATTCGTATCTATTTCTATCCTATCAACTTAGTTGGAAAGTTCTATAATTCTAAATTTAAATTAACGAAAATACCAGACACACTTCAATAAATATTAAGAACATTGACTGTTTTAAAATAGTCAGCAAATTTATTTTGAAAATAACGATAAAACAGTAATGTAAGTAAACGTAATTCGAATGCATTTAGAAAATATTTCTAAAGAATATTGTTAATTTGTAAATGTAGATATTTATTGTTTATTAGATTTATAATACAAGACCTCAATACAGATATTTTAGTTCTATATTTATAAAAATATGCGTTATGTTTGATTGCTTATTATATAGTCATTAAAATAATCTAGTAATATAAAAATGATTTAAAATGAATATTTATAATAGAGTATTTGTTTATTTGTATTTAAGAAAATGATAATGTTAATAATAAACAGAATAACAGCACAAGAAAAACCCAGATAAACAAAAATTCCGGAAAATTCGTCTCGTCTTATCGACTCCCGACAAAGCCAGACTGCTGTTGTATTTTTCTTTCTTTCTTTTTTTTTATGAGTGTTTTCTTACTTTTCCCATTTAAAAAATTAATGTTGCGCTTATTATTAGGTCTACCAAAAATTTAAATGGCCAAAGTTCCTATTATTCATTAAAATTATTAAATATAGTTTGAAACAAATAATAAATAAATCGAATTTATCGAGTTAAGACAAACGAAAATATTGATTTGGATAAAATTTGATAAATAGAAGATAGAGATAGGTCTATTTGCTTTACTATTTAAATCCTACAATTTAACAAATTGAACAATAATGCACAAATAATAAATAAATATTATGTATTTAACTACTTTTATTATCGGTAAATATAACGATTAAACTATTTATTTAGATAATATTTTTTTCAATATCATAGTACAAATATCAGTTACAGATCCAAATATTGTAGTTATATTTATATGCTTATATAACATGCACATTAATTTGCAATATATTACAGTTAGATAGAATGCCACTTTGCGTACATGAAGGAAACAAAAATTTTTTAAAAGTGAATTTAATATTGGGCACGATACAAAACATATGTTAAAATAATCATGCGTAACAAAAAAAAAATATATATATATATATATTTCAAAATTAAAATTTGTTATTAAGAACAATAGGTCAGTGTGGAGAGTCTTACGTCATAGAAAGAATATCTGCAAGATCCCCCAATACGTAATATGACTGCGATTAGTATGCTATTGTCAGCAGGCAGAGGAAGGTTATCGATAGCTTCAGTTTTGTGGGGAAAAGTATGACGTCATGTCATGCGTCGGGGAAAGATGCGTAGTCAATTCCGGGTACCATCTCCAATATGATTCGACAAATCTGAACATTACGTCTTTGAAATTTTTGTTACTTGATTATTATTTTACTTACTTGATGATATTATATAATTTAAAATTTAATGAATTTATATAGATATATAAATATATATTTTAGACGTTGAAAGAGATTGTCGGGAATTTTATATTTTTAAATAAAATATTGACGGGACTGCGTGTAAGCGACTAAAACGGGGTTATGAAATTGTATATATTAACATTTCTTCTGTAATTTATGTTATTCAGATTTGACTTAATTATTTAGTTAAATGTATGTGAATATAAAAAAAAAATTTAAGAATTACACACAATTTTATTTAGAGCTGTTTCTTTTAAGGATATAAATTTATATGCCGATAGTTTCCATTCGCGGTTCCTTTTGGATAAATTCCAAATAATATACACGTAAAATTCGACTGTTAAATGAAAATAATCAAACGCGTATGGGAATTATATAAATGATAATCGATAAGGTAATTAAAATAAAATATCTTAAACATTTTAAATTTACTATAAATATGTTACAATTTCAGAAAGGTCCGTAAAGTTTTTTATATTCGATTTAAAGTTTTTAGAATCGAATAAATAAAGCCATTTCGTACGAATGATGTATATAGGATTTTTCTTAGATTATTATATAGACTTTCGATGAATAAATCTTTAAATGAACTTCTTAAAGGACCCGCAAGCATCGAAAGGTGTAAGTGACCCTTTGTGTGTCATTCATCTCGTTCTTATCGATTAATATCTATTGATTGGCGACTAGAGAAGTAGCGTGTGAGCACATCTTTTCTCTCATTTGCCGACACATTACCAATCAACTTCTGATGTCTATTACGTCATTGCATGACGTCATCCCCGGTAAAGGTTCTCCGCAGTGTCGGCCATGTTTGTTCAATCTGCTAGTGGAAATGGTTTGAATTTATAGAATTAGAATATATTTTGCCATCGAGTGTTTCATAATGATAGGATGTAAAGACTATGTGGATGTAAACTAATATTAAACGTGAGAAAATTTCTAATACTGTAATAACTGAATATACAGTGTCTACGCATCTTAACAGGTACTTAATCCGGATAATGTTTTATATGTAATTTCTTATTATATACGCTTGTTAATATTAATGTATGTGAAATTTGCTTATATCAAACGTTTACTCTAGCGTTAGAGAAGAAAATCACAATTATTTTTACGCTTAATAATTATTATATGAAGTAACATATTCGGATACCGGCCATTATGATCAGCTTGTAATTTTATTTATTTATTTTTGAAATTGATGGAAAATTTCTAACCATTCCTACAATGGAAATGAAAAGTGTACATTTCTATCTATTGAAAATGATCTATTTCATTGAAAAGGAAGTCTTTTAATCGAAATTGATCTATTAAATTTGTTTGCTGCATTTTTACTTGACAATGTTTACAAACATCATTTGTATATAACAATAAAATAGATCTTATTGGATAGAAATTTAAAATATATTATGTTTATGTCAATTTTTTTTTTACTTGGTATGAAAAGTTCAAATTTACTTCATTAATTGTTAATTAATTATTATTTTTTTTTTCAGTTTTTATTTGTGATATATTTTTACCCCAAAAATCGTGATGTCTTCGGTTAAAGTGGCAGTGAGAGTTCGGCCCTTTAATAACAGGGAAGTGAGCCGAGATTGCAAATGTATCATTTCTATGTCTGGAAATACAACTAGTAAGTGTGGTTATTTATAAATTTAATATATAATTTTAAATAAAAGTGTTTTAAAAGATTGTATGTGATTTATATGTAATATATTATCTATATATATTTTTTTATGTATATGGAGATTGTACTTGAAGGTCTTATAGGAGTATTATAATCTTGATTAGCTTTTGAGAAACAATATTTTCATATAAGAAAATATTTACTATTTTTAGTAAAATAGTGTATTATCAACTTAAATGTGTAGGTGGAGTCTATTTTTGTTTGTTTTTATCATAATTGAGATTTTAGGGCCATCTGTTTGAACAATATCTAACTAAGGTTGTATTTATTCAAATTTAAATATGATAAAGAAAAATTGAATTAACTGTGGTTTATATTTTAAAAATATCTTGTTAAATATGAAAGATTTAAGTCAAAATCTTATTTCAATGAACATTTCTATATACAATACATTTCTTAAATACTAAAAATATTAGTGATTATATTAATTTAATCAAATATTGATCAGAAAATAAATATCAATATTGTGGATAGTATTTAAACAAAAATTAATTAGATATAGTTGCTTGCCATAGATATACAATAAGACTTTGTGGTGTTTAATTTTATATTTTGAATAAATTCTGTCACATATATCACTGTTTATACTTGTATATAATGTGTACAGAATTATATGAAAATGCACGTCTCTATTTGTATATACTGTAAATATATTTATAACAAATAAAACAAATTAAAAGAAAATTTTAAAAACTTACAGAATTATTATTTTTTAAACATTAATGTTTTAAAGCAACATATCTGAAAGGTTGTTTTCCTAGAATTTGAAATAGTTATTTTAATTTACTTAATATTCGTTCTGAAAGAATAGAAGAAATATTGCATTATTTTACAAATGCATTAAATGTTTATATTAAAAAATAAAAATTATCTAGTGTATGTATGTCTGTTTAAATGTATGACACATTTAACTTAGATTATGTCATGATTTTAAACATACGTATTTTGTCTTCATCTTAAATCTATTGATTTCAATTATTATAAGATATATATTTATTAATAATCTTTAATACAGAAATAAGTATTTTTGTGAATGCTATCTAAATATAAATCATTATTATTGCAGTATCAATTAAAAGTATTTCTAATATGATTTTATCTTTTTTGTTATGTGATATTGTCTAAAAAGTCTATATGACTTAATTACACAAGACTTGAGATTGCAAATGAATTTATTGTGATTAAATCTTGTTATAAACATACAGTAAGTTCTCACTTAATGTTGTTTTGTTATAAGGTTGATGAGAAAAGAATATAAGTACAGTAGATTTGTAATCATTTACAATTATTGTTGGAAAAACAATAAAATTGATTCTGTGAGGTGGGAATTAAATGCTGGAAGTAGCAAACACAATCCAGTAAGAATAATAATAATAATAATAACTAAATTCTTTTCTTGAAATCTAATTAGTACAATTTGCATTCACTATATTTCACCTTTTTTCAAATAATGTAAACTTATATCCACACTAACAACATGTAAGATATCATTTAAAGTCAATGTAAATTGTAAACAAACTTTTCCTGTTTGCATTTATCATTTTACATTTATAACATTCTCTATAGTTCATTGGAATGGCCAATTGCTTTCTTTTGAACTGTGTGATTATAGGAGGTGTTCCTTACAATTTTTACTTACCAAACATTTATTTCTTATTCAGGGCTTTAAAGAGCTTGTGCAGAGCCTGGGAGTAGAGCAGGCCTCTTTAACCATCTTTTTTTTTTTTTTGAACAAATGAAATATTTAAAATGATTCTTTATTAATTAATAAAAAGCAGTATTAAAGATTTTATTTTCTGTTAGTAAAAATAACATGATTTTTATAGGGGTAGGAACCATTATTGACTCCTAAGTTTTCTTTGGGTTTAGGGAAAAATGTCAGCTCTCTCTCTCAATGGCATTGTCCTTATTACTGTATTCATCTTTATAAGTCACCAGTGATGAGGATTAAGCTTTTCTTTCCATACCTCCCACTACTATGTCACTCACTGATTCACAAAATTTGGTAAATAATTATCTGACTTGTTTTCATTAATCTTTCTTCAATGCATGTATACCTCATATTTCAATCTTTACTATTAGAAGAGTTTTGGGTCTTAGATGTTTGATGTTTTTGTGACCAGAAATATTGCCTTTGGAACTTGATTTTATTTATATCAATTAGCCTGTGGTAAAATTGGTTTAATGAAATGAATTTTACCACATTGCTTTAAAGTCAGTTTCTAAAAATCCATTGATCCATGTTAAATGAGGACTTTTTTTCCTTTTGCTCTTTTTGCCCTGTGGGCACTAAGAGGGCCTCTTTTAGCAAGCACATTATGGGTTTGGCTAGGCCCACAATTGGATGACTGGGTGGAGAGTCCCTTTCCACCCAGTCACCCCATTTTGAAGTAGTAATTTTTAAAGGATTTTTAGCAAATTTCTCTTTAAATAAATTTTTTTAATATTTGATTTTACAGTAATAGTTCTTGAAAAATATGTCACTTCTGAAAGTCTTTGCTTTTTTCTGTAGAAAACTCAGGTTATATTTATAATAAACTATCGGCAATATGTAACTGCAATACTTAAACTTTTATTACTTGTTTAAATATGTTAAATTTTTATTATAATTATTATCTTTTTAATTTTAATGTTGGTCAAGATTTAGCATTTGATTGCAGTCATCATGTTATATATCATAGGTACTGTAGAAGTATGTTGCTTGATCAATAACAACACAAAGAAAAGATGAATAATGTCTGTGTAGGAAAGGTCATAATTTGATATATCAGGAAAAGATTCCTAAAATGTAAATAAAAATAATAAACTGAAAAAGTAATTCATTGAATGTTTTTAGATATACTGTATTTGGAAATAAGTAAAAAGAAAAAAAACTGATGTTTTTTTTAATCATAATTTTTAGATCAGAATATATACATATTTTTGTATTTCTCTTAATATATTAACAGAGATCTATTTTTAATATTTTTTCATTTTTAATAAGGGTAACTCAATTATTAATAATTTCAGCAATTAATGATTCATATTTTTGTTTTTGGACATTAATTACAGAAGCAAAGATGTTAATTTATGTAATTTATAAAACAGATTTTATAACAAAGTGTTATAAATCCATTTTATATTTAGAATATTAAATAGAATATTAAAATATTTTGGTATGAAGTGTGTATGTTATGCTGAATCTGATCCATTTAGTGAAAGAGGCAAATTTTCTGCTGAATCCATAAAATTGGCTACTGTACCAAATGACACTAGTGCAGCATTATGATAAATTCATGAACTTACATATTTTGCATTACTCTTTATTTAATTTTCTAGACTAGACTGATTGTACTGTACAACAAAGTCTTAGATGTCAAGCCAGTTGCCAAGTGGATAAAATCACTGAATATTGGTAGTTGCAGTGGATTTGCACCTCACCAATGGGCTGGCCATTTGGAGATTTCTGCATTTTTTTTTTTGTGTCTCTTAACACTTAAACAGAGGCCAGTTTCCCATAGAAAATTTTTCCTGGGCAGATCATCCTTGAGTTGCATTGCTATATCCCATTAAACTAAGCCAAACCAGCAATTTTAAAATACAAAAATCTTAACTTAAAATTCCAATAGATGTTGACAATGGAGTAACTAGGTAGATGCAACAAGAGAATAAGCCCAGGGTCCAGGACAAAGAGGGAGCTATAAAATGGTTATAAAAAAAAAATATGATGATCAGATTTTAAATTTTGCCACCATAGAGACCAGTTCTTTAATGTTTTTGTTTAAAATTAAAAATAACTGACCATTTCTATTGTATTTATTTATTTTGTATATTTTTTTCCAAAAAGGAGGAAGTCAGAATAAAATTTTGCACAAGCACATGAAAAGCTGGTTATAGCACTTTGTATTGATTTCTTAATTTAAAATAATATAAAATAATAAATAATAAATAAATAAATAAATAATAAATAATTTTGTTACATTCACTCACCTCACAAGCATTTGTAGACACCAGTATCTTTGGCTGTATTTTATATTTTTATTTGCGATACTATATTCTGTTTGATGGAACATGAGCTTTTTGAAATAATTTTTGATGAGTGGTTAGTTTCATTGATCATTAAGACATCAGAAGTAATAGTAGTTATTTAATGTTTTAAATGCATTTTTTTTACATAAATATAAAATAAAATGCAATATACAGTTGGTTAAAAATTTATGATCCACTACATATTTTTAGTTTTTTCAAAACTAACAATGTTTAATGGTCAATTATTATTCTCAACAAATTAAGTACAATAAATAATCAAGTTTTGAACAATTAGTTCAACAATCTTAACACATTTTAGTTATTAGTTTTATAAAAGTAAAATTTTCACTGTTAATAAATTATAAGACCACCATGAAAACAAATATTGAGAAGTAACTTTTTTGTTGATTAATAGTTGATTGTTGCTCCATTTCTTCATATCACTTTAAATAACCTGTTTGGCATTGATTCTATCAATTTTTTCAGTAGGTCATTGTCAGTAATGTTCCATTGGTGCATAATTTTACATTCAAGTTCATGAACACTTGAAAATTGGTGATTGTTTGTGTTTGTATCTTCTAACTTAAAATTCCTCAAAGGTTTTAAAGGGATTTAAGTCAGGACTTCTTGATGGCCAAGATAAAACATTAATTTTCCTTGCCTTAAACCAGTCTTGAGTTGCCTTTGAGTCATGGTAGGTGGCATTGTCTTGTTGGTAGTACCGTTTTCTTCCTCTGAAATGTGATCTAAATGGAAACAAATGTTTTTCCAATAACACCTGATAATTTTCAGATTTTAATTTAATGCTAACTTTAACAAGAACAAGTTTAGCATCATAACAGAATGCTTTCCAAACCATGAGAGAGCCTCCACCCATTTGTCTACTAAAACATTCTTTAAGTGCCTTGCGCAAAGTATGCAATATGCATTATTCCCATCTGGATCATCAAGATTAAACTTATTTTTTGTTTCTTTAGAATTAAGCACTTATTTTTTATATAGAAATAGAAAATAAAGTCTACTTTTTACATCAAAAAGAGTGTTCCTGTATGATAAGTTCTCTATAACAATTTTGTGGTTAATTATTGCATATGTACCTCAATCAATTTGGGCTTTTCCTTTAGTTTTGTGTAACTTTTGTTTTTGTTTTTCCTTAACATTTTCCAATCAGTTATATGTGAAAATTTACCCAATTTCATATGAAATTTCTCTTGTGGATATGTTCTGTTGAATTTCCAGACCAAAAACATGCCTGTAATCATGTGAGGACAATGATTTTTTTTAAAGTCAAACAACCACTGGATTACATTGGGCAATTTTTCTGCAATTATATTTAATTAATTACTAAATAATTTGTCACTAGACAGAGGCATTAGGTGCCATCCCTCTAGCACCTAAATTATTTAATAAATATTAATTTAATTATAATTATTAAATTTGATAAGAGGTGGCACCTAATGCCTCTGTCTGGTGACAAATTATTTAGTAATTAATTAAATATAATTTCAGAAAAGTAGCCCAATGTAATCCAGTGGTTGTTTGGCTTTACAAATTTATCAGGATTCATGGTGTTTGTTTATAGTGGGGTTTCTTTTTTTACCAAATTTCTTGTACTGTAAATAACTATTTTTTTCCAAAACATGATGAGTTGCTGTTTTGGACCTATTAAGGAGACCAGCTATGGTATGTATTGTTATGCTGGTGCTGGTTACTCAGAAGGGGCTTCTGAGTAACCAGCACCAGCATAACAATACATTTTTGGATATTTTTCTCCTCCCAATTTACTTATTCTTGGCATGGTGTTTAGCCACAACCACTCAAAAATAAACTTAAGAACATTATTAAAGTTAGTCATGTGATATCATGGAAAACTAGCATAGTATTTAAAATGCCTACTCAAACTTATTTTATTAACAGGACGTATTATACCGATGTCTGTGTTCAGCAAAAGTTAAGAAAGCTTATCAGATAAAACAAACAGTCTTTATTTTTCATCTGTACACTTTATACACGATATTGTGTTTCAGACTAGTTCGTCCCACATCAGCATTCAATATTTTCTAAAACAAATCATTAAAATCAATACAAATTTATAAAATCCCAACAATAAAAACCTATTACATTAAATTACTTAGTTTTTTTCATTTTTAAACACTTCGAAAATCAGAATTACAAACAGAGCTACTTTTATTATATTTCTTAGATATCTGTATAATATCAATAAATGTAAGTTACATTATTAAGTTTTTTTTTATTTTTAACATATTTACAACTTATATATCATATTCCAACTTTCACTTGAACTTATTAACCTATTACTAGATGCTCTCTCTTATATCCCGTCATTCCTTCTGTCGATGATTCTATTCCATGATTGGTGGATTTCTCTTTTCATATTGTTGTTCATTCTGTTCTGTTGTCTTGCTATGTTTAATTGTAATTTTGAACAAAAGAAAACATATATAGGAAAAACAAAAATAAAATTGAAAATACATTTAAAAGAACATATTCGAGCAATTAAAAATAATTATGCAATGTCTGCAGTAGCAGAACATTGTAATACAACTGGGTGTGAAATAGATTTGAGTACTATAAAAATAAAGAAAAAAGAAAAGAATAATTTCAAAAGGCAATTATACAAACACATTTACATATGGGGATGCTATAGTGTACTCAGTATTCCACAAATTCAGTGGTGTTCCTACTCTAATCCCGGCTACAGCATACCAGCTGCAACATTACATTAATGCGGCAATTGCCCCTTTAATCAGAAGACCCTTTAATTAAAAGACCATAGGGCCTTTCTGTTATCTTCCAGCCAAGCTGCTATTGATACTGAACTTAATGCTATTTGCTCTGCAGTAAATGAGGCAGGCTATACTAATGCCAAGTTTATGTACTGTACATCTTAAATAAGGTAAAAAGATCGCTTTTTTCCGCTACTACACTACATCTCCCAAAAGAATCCACAACAGTCCTTTTGTGGTCCATCCACAACAGCTACTGTTTTGTGGTCATGTCACTGTCTGTATTTGCCATATTTTTACACAGCATGCGCTTTTTCTGCCAGTTTCTCCGCAGCCAAGTCTTAGGAGGTTGCTATCCAACGACAGAGATCCTACTTCCACACTAGAAAGATCTGGGGTTTATTCTATCCCACTGGAAAATGTCGGGTGGTCTCACCCATTATATTGGTGCGACAACCAGAATGTTGTCTTATCGTATTTCGGAACATCAGTGTTCTATCAGGGCAGGCAAGAGTGAAACTGAGCTCGCTAGAACACCAACACACCCCATTGTGGGACCAGTTGGTCATACTAAGACATTGTAATAACAGAAGCCTCGTGTATATTTGGGAGGCCCTCCTTACCAACATACTAAATTGTGCAACACCCCCACACTTGATTTGCCCCCTTTGTGGGTTAACTTGTTTAACTGCCTAACACAATATATCTAGCTCCACAGTTTGGATGCTTATAGCACATGTGCATTATTACTACACGTGTTTTTATTTAAATTCTTTTTCTTACGTTCTATCGTTGCTTTCATTCCAAAACATTAATACCGTTGGAATAATTTGATATTCATATTCAAAAAAAGGACTTTAACTGTTTTTAATGACCTGACGAAGCGCTTTTGACGAAAATAATTATCGTCAAAAGCGCTTGTTGATCTAGCAACATTCATTTGTAATTTAACGTCTATATGTTAAGAAGTTTCTCCTATTAAATGATCAGCATGCTGTCCTTTTCTGAATTATAGTTAATTTACTGTCTATGGAAATTTGACTTTTGTAAAACTAATAACTAAAATCTGTTAAGATTGTTGAACTAATTGTTCAAAATATGATTATTTATTGCTTTATTTTCTTGAGAATAATAAAACATTGTTAGTTTTCAGAAAATTAAAAAAAAATGTGGTACAGTAGTCTTATAATTTCTTAACAGACTGTAATTATTGATTAAAATTATTTATATTAATTTTTTTTACCATCTTGCTGACAAATAAAAATGGTAATGATGTAATTACCATTTTTATTCTTTTAAATTTTTTAAACCCCAGAATGCCTTATTAAGAAGTATAAAGTAACATCAAGTATTTTTCAAATAAAAAGACAATACTAAAATAAAACTTTGATTACGTTTTCTAAGCCATAATTCAATAAGTGAAACAAAAGTTGGTATCTTATTGGAGAATATAAAATATTCATTTCACAAATTAGAAAAATTTTTGCTATTGGGTTGTTCGGAAAGTAATTTCGTTTTTTTTCCTGTGGAAAGAAAAACAATATTTTTTTTATAATAAATAAATATTTTATTGAATTATATATCGACCATTTTGGTCAAATACCTGTTGTCATCATTTCTGGTAATAGCATGATTTCACATTCATAAAAGTTTTGATTGTTGCTTACAAAAAACTGATCCAAGTGATTTTTGACATTGTCATTTCAAGTAAATGTCTTACAGTTAAAAAAAATTTGTATAGACCAGAGTTATAACAGTTTGTGAACAGTTACCAAACTTGTGTGAAATTTGACATTATCATGGTAATTTTTGTTTTGTTGATCAATTCTGGCTGTCTTTTCTGTTTGATGATATTACTCAATTTGTTTACTTGATGGCAGTACACTTTTGAATCAATTATTAAATTGGTAAAAGCTCCAAAAAAAAAAATTTTCTTAAAATCCCACCAAAGAGAGCATCTCTCTTTAAGAACATGTGGAACCCATATATCGAGCTTTGAAACAAAACTAATTTGTTTCAAGTAATCATAAACAGGATTTAGATTTTGGATTTTTACAGTTTTTATACTTATGTAATCATCTTATTGTACACCCTTTTTGTTTTATTAAATGTTTTTACTTTGATTCTTGAGTGTTTGTGCCCATTATCATTGGTGTGATAAGCCCTTACTATTATCTGCCTTATGGTTATAGATATTTTAATTAATTTAATCATAAACAGTTCAATTTGGCAAATTTAATCTCTTAGTGATTTTACGTGTTGTTTTTCGGCAGTTTGCTTCAATCAGTACCTTTATTTTGTTTTCATTGGTTTCAATTGGCCATCCAGAACATGGTGCATCTTCAATATTGAAATTGCCAGAACGAAATTTTGTAAACCAGTTTTGGCACTGTCATTCTGTCAATACATTTTCTCCATACATGTCACACAATTTTTTTCTTGCTTGAACAGCATTCTTACCTTTTCGGTAATAAAAGAGCAAAATATGCTGAAAATGCTGCTTTCTATCTTCCATATTTGATAGGACACAAAAAATGAACAATTGCACAAAATCAAACAAAATTTTTTACAAATAAGCCTCAAAATGCTTGCTGTCAAAATATTCAATGATAATATGGTTTAGAATGAAAATGGTGGGAAAAATACAACTAATCCGTCTAGTGGTAAAAAAAACAACCCAATTTCTGAACAACCCAATATTTTATGAAAAAGGCAGCATTTGTGGATTTGGCATAACATATATATTATAAAAATTGCTTATGCCT